AAAGAATCCTAACTCTTTACACACAGTCCATATGCAAACATAATAATTCTCTTATTTAGCAGCTTTGTTTTATAGACTTTCTGAACAGAAGTATCACACAAAGAATGCGGGGGGGGGGTAGGGAATATTCTTCTCCTAAGGGAAAAACAACACTAAAACAAGTCTTTAAAATATGAATTTAAATTAATTTCATCAAGGTTAGCATAGTTTCACCATTTAAACGCAATCATTTACACTAGTCTTTTCCTCCACAAAACAGGCTGTTCCCTACTTTATTTAGAAATTGAAAGCTTTATACATCTACCATCGTTTATTTAAAATTCACAATTTATCCCCCATTTTTCACTATTCAGACATATGCAAATATTTCAATAGAATACTCAGAAGCAGAATTACTGGGTTGAAGGGTTGTATGCATTTTAAATATTAACAGGCGCTTCCAAAGTGCCCTTCCAAATGCATCTTGTTACATTACCACCAACAGTACAAGAGTACCTGCCTCCTACCCCATATCCTTGCCAACACTAAATATTATCAATCTTTTTAAGTTTTTCCAATCTGTTGGTAAAAAATTTCTCTATTGTTTTGATTAACATTTTCCTTATACTATCAAACGTAAGTGTCTTATCATATGCTTAATGTCCTTATATATATCTAGGAGTAGGAAACTGCATATTAAAGAACTTGTCTATGTTGATTTTGATCAATATTAATTAGTGTATAGAGCTAATTAGGCCAGGAGTTTAATCTCTGTATAGATCAAAATTCTGCTGCAAAGCCACAGACTGTATCAATTCACCAGGCACCTTCACTGGAATGTACATACTTAATAAACTTTGGTGTTCCAAGCAGAAACAAAGCTAAAGCTCATGTCCTTGTAACAACAGACACATTGCATTATATCTAAAACATCTATACACCTGAATATTTGCCTCTTTACACACAGTCCATGCTTCAGAGTATCGATGCTTATAGTGTTCTTATTCCATGAAAACTAAAAGTTTTGAGAGAGCCCATTTTTATTATTTTGTTACATATTACATATCTTAATAATATATTATTTAACAATATTTTCAAATAACTGCTGGAAGTAGTTGCAATACTTATGATTATTGATTTCCACAAT